GGACATTCAATCATCAAATTGTAGACAAGTGGAATTAAACTGAATTTTCTTTTAGAGCTTTCGGATCTGAAATCAAATTTCACACTAACCCTGGGTTATCTTAATCCAGCTTTGAACAACCCGGCCCAGGAAAACAACTCTACAAACGGTAAATTTATCATTTCAACTTCTCGCGTTTCAAATATTAAACGTTTATTTTACTTAGCACATATACAAATAATTTTTTGAAGCTACCCAACTTTTAACACGGCAGTTAAGTAAATAGATAGAAAAATCCGTATTTTATTTCAAATCTAAATTATAGTGATTCTATTCTTTTGTGAAAACATAGGGTAGACATTGTTCTAAAAGTCTGTGGAATAAGTAAGTGTTTCACTGCTTTTACAAGTACAAACGAGGTCTCCAAAACTGGGCTAAACTCGACCTTCGAATGACGCTAATTATGCGTAAATTGAGTTTTATCAATTTTCTCGAAAAGAAAAGAAGTTTTCAACAAACTATGTTATGTCTTGGTTTGTTTTACCTATAGGCCTACCTAATACTAGAATATGAGCAAATTCGATTTTTTGACTGTTGCCGGTGAATGTTTGATTTTTCTTGACAACCTCTTAACATAGTTAATCGAGGGGACTAATCGATTAACTATGCTCTTAAGGAGTTAAAACGTGAGGTACTTGTTTACAACTGAATCAATCAATGTAACTTTCATTCATTTAATATCTGAATTATCCAAAACAATTTCTACTTTGTTAAACATTGAACTAAGTTCCGAGTTCTACTACAAGGACACTTTTGGCAAGTATTTGCTAGTCCCTTGACTTTGCATATTTTTTCTGCATTCCACTAAAGAAACTGAAGAAAGTCGATGACTAAATGTTGTATTAAATACCCTTGTGCCTGGATAAAGTGCCTGACTAGACTCCAATTTTATGGTGGATGAAGACAAGCTTCACACACGCCATTGCAGCAAAAAAAAAAACCACCTCACAATTTACAAGAAAACAATGACATCAGTGCACCCTCACTCATTTTTTGTGTTGATATTTACAGATAGTTTAATGTAATTAAACAATTTAGGTAGAATTCTGTTTCAATTTACCTTTCTTAGTGTGCTTAAATTTAGTTGAGTTTGTACTTCTCTGCAGTACAAAGAGTTTAAAGTAATTTGAAATTTTAAGTAGAATTCTGTTTCAATTCACCTTTCTTAGTGTCCTTAAATCAAGTTAAATTTTTACTGCTCTGCAAACTATTCAGCACAAAATCAACCTGTTTAGAATACAATTAGACTAAACTTTGCTACAGTACCATCACATTAGTTGGGTACTGTAACCTATTATTTCCAAATTATTTGAATTTCTTTTAAGTTACTTTAAGAAGACAATTTGATGAAATAGAGGTTCAATTTGATTGCTGGTGGTGCCCTAATTTGTGATTGACTACACTTGATTTCTCATCATAAAATGGACAGCTGCATGTCTCAACTGGAATAACTGAGGTTGTTGTCTAACTTTGCTGTGTCCAAAAAAGTCTCTGATTCCTAACATTTAATGGAAATAACCCTGCACAGGAAAAACTCTTTGAATTCACTGACTAAAAAGTCTCCAGCACAACTCCTCCACCAATAAAAAATTGCCTAGATGAGGTTTGTGTTACTTGGTAACCCTGTGCCCCCCAACTTTGCAAACAATCCCATATTGCACTGCTGTTTTACCATCTTTGTAGCTCTGTTATCTATTATGACTTGAGGTAACAAGTCTATTTACAACTGCTTTCTTAGAAGGCTCTACTCTAGCTTCATGCAATTGTCTTTCCCACTGTTTTCTGTGCAAAGTGTAAAGCTTCATGGCTACCTGTGTATCTTGTACATGGTATAAAATACAAATGTAAATAGATTGTGACTTTTTTCCGGATGCTTCTGTTGAAAATTGGCCTAAACTCAAGAAAAACAGCTTTGTTTCTGCTTGTAATCAAACAAGTGTGTAAATTTTCCCCTTAATTTTTGCTGATTGTCCTCAACCTAATAAGGGGCAAAATTAACCTAATCCTTTTACACCCTGACATCAACATTGATATTCTCCACACTGTTGTCTCTATATTTTCTGTGTTGTCATCAAGGAGAATTTGTTTGATAATCAGCAGCTTCCTAATTTGGTGATCATTTGCAGTATTCTTGTGACCTTTGCAGGGTGACGCAGTAAGGAGATATTAGAAACCAGTCCCTGCTCTGCTCCAAGTCTCTTCTTGACACTACAGAGAGTAAACAACATTAATACTTACAGAAGAATGTTCTCCTTCTTGAATGCTGATATTCAGTACCTGCTTAGCAAGTTTTCTTAATGAAGGGATTTTTGTGTAAAGGTTAACGAATCAAACAAATAGTAAATTACCAGCATTGTGTTGCCAAGTTTTAAAATCTACAAACTATTGCAGAACCACAGCAGCTTTCTGATCATTGCTTACAAACAAGAATTCACTGGTACCAGTTTTAACTTTTTAAAACCTCAAAGTTTGAACTGAGTATTTTTGTAAGTGTTCCCTCCTTCCTCTATATCAATCAGATACAAACTTCAAACCAGTCTTAGCTTGATGAACATTTTTGAACACTTGAAGCTGTCTTTGTACTCAGTATCTCCATTAAATTAAATCTCAAATCAGTTTGACTGTAATAGTTTCTGTTTAGTGTTCTCTCTTATTTTATGTACAACAGGTAAACAAAAATTTCAAAGCAGCAGAACAATTCTTTTACTAGTTGAGGTTACAAGAACTCCAAGTGATTCTGGGCATTTCAAGGAGTACTACATATGCATTATTAACCAAGCCTGAGGTCAAGTTGGCTAGATATTGCCCGAGTTCTTTTTTTGCATTCTTGTTCGGTCAAGGTGGCTAGATAATAGATAAAAGTAATCTTAGACCAAACTCACCTCAAGGTCATTCTTCAAGGAATATCCCACAGAGGATTTCTTTTTAAGAATTTTTGAACTTCAAGTTGAACTGTCTTGAATTCTGGAGCTAGACATCAAAAAAAAAAAAATTCTTACAATAAATAAATTGCAATACACAAACCAAGCAGAAAAGTGTTCAAAACCAGTAGATACAGGCCATAAATGTAAACAATTATGTTTTTTTTAGTTTGTTTTATCCAATGAACTACGAATTGTATCCTTGTTAAACATGATTCCTTTTTTGGTAAAAGATGACAGCATGATTATGAGTTTGAAAAAAGACACGATTATGAGTTTGATTATGACATGATTATGACATGATTATGAGTTTGAAAAAAGAATTAGATATTCAAATACCAACATTTAGAATAATGATTACTTTGATGCATTTTTACCAAATAATAATATATTAAATAATAATGAAAAGTTTTTTTGGGAGCACATTTAGAAAACTCAATGCGCTTACATTACTATATAGAAAAATAGTAATATGTTAGTTGATACCTATAAAGTTTTTCTCAAAACAGTAATAAATAAAATAAACAAAATACTTTATGTTATAATAAACATAATCCAGAAGCTTACACGCATAATATACTCCAATATAACAAACAAGTGTCAACACATGACTTAAGACAAATGCAAAATAGACTAAAAATTCTCAAGGCAATTAGAAAAATTTTTTGATTTTCATAGTAGAGTAATGAGGCAATTTTCATTGAGCATCTTGATTAGCAAATTTAGAAATGAGGTGAATTAGATTTCTTATGTTAAAGTTTTCTGTTTGGTTGGACTTTCATTATCCTTTTTATTATCACATTTGAGAAGCCAGTGACAATTTTTTAAAAAATTTCATTTACCATATGGGGCTCGGATTTTACTATTACACTAAAATTGTTTCATCTTTACATGCTCACTTTGGAGGTTGGTTGGCTGCATCTTGATATGCTTTAATGTGACAGCGTGATGCTGTTAGTGAGTTTCACAGGTGCTCACCAATACTTGGCTGTGTAGCCGTACGATGTGATTCCAGTCGAGGCCCACAAATTGACCCTTGCTCACCATAGAGTCTCCAGCAGCTCAGTGGTTAGAGCATCCGACTAGATCATGGAGGGTCGTGGGTTCAAGTCCCATCTGGGGCTCAGATTTTTCTATTACACTAAAATTGTTTCATCTTTACATTTACCATTTAATTTTTTTAGGTGTTGTAGCTATGTAGAAATCTGTACAGTGTACTGTAGCTTCATAAAAACATTAAAGCACAAATGCTTATAAGAGCAGGGCTCAAAATTAAGGGTAAGCCATTAACCAATGGTTAGTAATTCTCAACCTTTGGTTACTAAAAATGTGTCCAACTAACCCGACATGGTTAGTAAAATTTTCTAACATATTTAAACATTGGTAGACCTCAGAACAAAGAGCACATAGACCTGCCTCTCAGAGAAATACTTAGAATACTCAAGTTGTTTAATCAACTTAAACTCTTTTTAGAGAATGTGCTGTAGATGAACTGTTCTTCACTAATCATGGTAAATGAGAGGGAAATAAAATAGGTGCATAATTGTCAATGTTTTTAAGGTCACCATGCAATTTCAGCTAGTCTTTAATTTGTCCTGGTCATCATTGTCAAAATGTTTAATAATTGAGATATTGTAACCTGTGAGCTTGGATACCAAACTTGATAATTTGGTTAGTAAAAAAGATGTCTACCAACCCGAAGGGTTAGTGATCCAAATATTAAAATTGAACCCTGAAGAGTAACATTCCCATCCCAAAATGCTGGATAGCACAATGTCACACCACCAAAAAAAAAAAAACAAACAAGCAAACAAAACAAAAAAAAGCCAATCATTAACAATACCTCGACAAAACAAACATTTCAGTTGTTTTTCTGCAAATTTGTTAAATGGAGATTTCAGCATAACAAACCCATAACAAACAAATTTTCCCACTCCCTTGGGATGTCATTAAATTGAGGTTCCACTGTAATATATCGAGTCTAAAATTTCTAATTCAGACCTGTATCTTGCCAAAGTCTACTATTTCTAAATAATTTGATATACTAAGTTATACTGGGTATCTGTAGTGTATAGAATACCATTGAAACTAGTACTTATACCAAAATTGGTGAAATTTTATCGCTGGCAGCGACTGTGAAACCAATTCTGTGCTCTGATCGGCTACCCGAGTGGTCCAAGATGGCCCACTCAGGTTTGTCTGTTTTGATCCTGCACAAAAAAAGATAGCTTGGAGAAGACTTACAAAGATCAAAATTTTTAAACAAAGTCGGAAATGGAGTTACAGAAAGCGGCAGAAGGCAGTCAAAACAAAGAGCGTATAAATGACTCTCGTGGATTTATAAATTTGTGCTACTGAAACACAGTTAGCTATCTTTCTCCGCTCTCAAAACAAACAGTTCATTCTTAATTTAGATAAATTTCTTCACTGTCTAACAAAATAACTTATTGACTGAGCTTGTGGTGGTACCTAAGGTTGATGAACGCTTAGATATTGGCAATCAAAAGATTTAAAAGTCCTTCTCACCACTTGTAAAGCCTTCCAGTTGGAGGATATTTCTGTGGCGGTTTGTGGTAATTGAGGCTGGAGAATCTGAGTTTTCTTCGCATCTCGCTTCCTTTTGCTGGGCTCCATTTTCCTCATTTTATTCCAATCCTTTGAATGCGGGTTCCAGCCATGTTTGCGTTTCCGCTTCAAGTTTTCGCTGCCGCAATTGTTCGCTACCTCTGCCATCTTCAAATTTAAGCTTGAGACGGCAATTCTCATGTCCAGCTGTAAATGTTTTTAGCGTATCTTCTATTCGAATAAGCAGACTCGATGTGCCCTGGACAACGTATCGCCGTTCTGAGAGCTCTCGCATCCCGATCCTCAGAAAGCTGAGTCTTCTGGAAAGTTTCGAAACTGCACGCATTTTCCCGACACGCAAGAAAGATTAAGTCTGTTTAAGAAAGTTTAGAAATTCTTTCTTTTCTTTTTTAACTCTGACGAACGATACATCCGCCTCCATCGAAAGAGTTTGCTCACGTGACATCACAGCTAAATATAACATCATTCCGTCTGAAATGAACTAGGATACCTTCAGTATGGCTGTTTCGCCTGGCTGTAAAGTACGTTATCGTGATCTCCGACAGTTTTCATCTATGTTATTCCTTTTGTCCCCTCTGACTTATTCACTTTAATAACATTCGTCCGTAGGTCCGTGTACTCTATGATTTTGAAGGAGACCGACCTTCTGGAGAACTCGCCGTTTACACGGATGAAATTTTAACCGTGACTCGAACGGTACGTATAGTTAAGACTTCTGTGACGCTGCTACCGTCTGCATTTGGGACTTCCTCTATACAGTATTTCCGTTATTTCTTTATTTACGACAGGACGTCGGCGAGGGATGGTGGGAGGGAATTGGCCCTGACGGATCTAGAGGTTTGTTTCCTGAAGCCTATGTAGAGGTGAGACAAGCAAACTTTGTTGTAATTTTATATCCAAGAATGTTTATTTAATATTAACTAGGTATGCTGTTCTTTATACTGAGTCTTTTCCGAGTATGAATTTTCTTATTACCAGAAAATATATCTTTCGTCTTAATTTTTCCCTCGTGTTTTCCTATATTGAATTTGGCATTATGCGAGTGGTCTCATATACTTTTCTTTTTGCCAATATCTAACATGTATTTACAGAAATCTGTTACAACGTGAGATCACTTTTACAATTGACTAAGTGTACATGTAAAAGGCTATCACTCTTTTTGACATAATATCTTCTCTGTTTCCCTCTATGTTATATTAATATTCACCTTTAAAAGGTACCTGAAAAATGTATAGCTCTAAGAAACTGTATAGATTTATCTGCTCTCTCCAAAAAGTTGCTCCAATGAACCGAGTATTGTCAATTTGTCAAACAAGATGTAATGTGCACTCTCAACTGGTGTCAGAGTTATTGCCAGTGAAATCACTGGAGACCTATTATGGTCTTATTGACCATAACAAGTTCAGCAATGATGGGTTCATTTTGTTGAAAGGTTCACTGAGGGAACCTTTCAACAAAATTTGCTAATCACAGTGATGGAATTCCAACCAACCACAGCTGAGCAGAACTGTTAGAGGGTGATGCATACTCACTTGACCTTAAAACAGAAGTTTTGCAACATGACACTTACCGGTATGCATTCATGGTTTGGTTTAAAGTGAAAAAGGAAATGTGATGATTGGAGTATACCCAATTTGTGAAGTGGTGAATGTTGATGATAAACAATAAAACAAGGATTTGAAGTTTGAGAGTAGAGTGTACCTCACAAGTTTGGTACATCTTATTGCGTGATGAGGACTAGCACTATGCAGCTGAAATGTTGCATTCCACATCTGAAGCACCTACTTTTTGAGACAAGCAATTATACTTCATTGTGAAAGTGTATTCATCGCAAACCACAATCTACAATTATTTGCCAAAGGTGAAGTGAGTATAGCTGAATAATCCCAAAGAGAAGGTGATTAAATACAACAATATTCACTGATCCTAAGGGAAAGGTGCCTTTTTATTTTGTTGTCAATTTGTTTCCCTTGTTGATACCATTCCGTCACAATTGTTTTGATAACCTATACTGACATAAGCAGCCGTTTGCCCACTAGAATTTAACAGGTTTATTTAATTCAATCAGCAAAACTTTATTTTCTTTTGAAAAGTGTTGCATGAAACCTAATACCAGTTTTTGTGTTCTTTGGAATTGTATTTTTTAAATCACATCTATCACTTTCTGCCTAACATTAACCAAATGCAAGGTAGCTGTTTTGAAATTAAGCACCCCCTGCGATAATCACCTCATGGAAGGTGATAATTGCAAGGTATAATCCTTGACCAATCAGAGCATGCACATCTCTATAATCAGTAGAGCAATGATACTTATTTACAATATAAGGGGATTGTTATATGATCCACCACTAGATTCTCAGAACTCACTTGAGAATTGTTTAACAGATAGTAAAAGAGCTAAGGAATTCTGGATACTTATGCTTCACAGCTAGTAGAGTATCCAGCACCACCGTTCAACGACCTCCATCCTATACCTTCGGCGCCTCTGCATAATCAGGGTTCAGTGGATACAGCAGATGGATGGGAAGATGAATGGGATGATGATGAAACTGTCAGCAACTACAGTGGGGGGGACCAGGAGTCAACAGTGTCATCATTGCCGAGAAGACACACCAATTCAGGAATGGTTAGAACAGGGACAGTGCGAAAGAGCATGAACAGGTTGAGTCTTTTGTGTAAGGGAATAAAGGGCTTTTTGATTTACCCTTAAACTCCTAAGATCTGATTGTTCATTCTAACCTACTCTGCTCCATCAGGGCTGTGGTCCAGCGACACCCAGTGGCCCCTGGCGCCTTACTTTTGCTCTTGCGCAACTTGGGAATTTTAGTTTTTTCATATAAAAGCATATGCTGGGCACCCTGTATTTCAAAGTTTCAGACCAATGGGCTCCCTTCACATTTTCTTAGAGCAGAACGTTGTACATATTTCCTTGTAAATTAATTGTGAGAATTTAGTGTTATCACATGGGGAAACATTATTTGGTATGTGTCTAAAGGCTGGAAAAACTTGAAGGGAAAACAAGTGAACAGCCCTATGCATGGAAGAATTGTTGCAATGGCCAACATAGATACTTTTTACTATATGAAGCAAATAGATCTGAGAGTCTGTTCAGTAAAAGATGAAAAATGTCAAAATGCAGTAACAACATACCCTCATGTAAATAACACTCTCAACCGAGCATCTTTTCATTTTGACATCATCTGTCATCTATTTCCCGGGCTTGACACTAACTTTCAACTTACTAGCCAAGTGGCTAGTGACAAGTTCAATGTTATGACAATTTCAGTTTGTTTAGTAGCCAAACTGGCCAGTGGAAATCAAAAAACACTAGCCAAACTGAATCTCTACTAGTCTGTGGCTAGTTGGCTACTGTTAGTGTCAAGCCCTATATAATTACTGTACAGACACACAGGAGTGTGTCTGTACAGTAGAGCGTTAGCCCTTCACTCCGAGCGAAGGGCTAACTTTCGAAACGTCAGCTTTTGTAATCATTATGGTGGCCAATTTACCATTTCAACTTTGTTGATATATCCAAATTATTTCGTTACTCACACCGGCGCAGCCCCAAACAGTTTCTTTCGAAACTATCAGCCTTTACACAGGAGTATAGTTTATTTCTTGAATATAATTCACTTTAAGATGAGTTACTTACTACCACTGAACTGCTGTTTTTGTTTTAAAGGTTCTCACACTTTGTGAAATCTGGTGGAGAAGCGTATGTCATTGGTACACAACAGACTGATGTAAAAGTTCCACATAATGAGAGAGTGTCAATCAAGGTAGAGCATTAATCTCTTTTTTTCAATAAATGTTTGAAGTTTAGGTGCTATATTAGAGGTGCCCAGTAAGTAGCCAACTCTGTTTTTCTGTTTGTGGTTTTCAGGAAGATGGAGATCGGATTACTTGGTGCAACAACCCAGACCCATTCACATGTGAGATAAATTCCCCTGAGAAGAAGAGTAAATTCAAAGGGATGAAGAGTTTTATTGCATACAACATAACACCCAGTGTGAGTGTGTAACACTAAAAATAGAGCAACATTACAATGTATGTGCCTTATTTAGTGGTTCTTTGTATAACAGGCACACCTAATATTTTGCAACTTTTTTATGCAGTGAGGTAAAATACACAGGGTAAGCAACTGTCCACTCTAATTTTTATAGTTAGACGACTAAATGAGGGATTTACAATCTAGTACCACTATTATTTGATATTCTGAGCTCAGTTGTTGAAAGGTGGATTAGTGCTAACCCAAGGTTGAATTTTAATTCAGGTTTCTTTATGTCTCTTTGCTAAAGCCTTTTTGGGATAATTTTCAAATTCTAGATGAAACAAATTTTCTTTTGAAGCTTTCAGATCTGAGATCAGATTTCACACTAACCCTGGGCTATTTTAACCCAGTTTTGAACAACCCATCTCTGGTAATTTGAAATATATCATGGTCAAGCCTGTGAAATGTAAACTACATTAATCAAACCTTGGTGTGTTCAAGGCAGCCATTTTGTTGTTTCACTTTCTATCTCTATTTCTTTCCTTTCAGTTACAGTAAGGTACCATCCCCACAATCTCATTCCAATGCAAAATTATTCCTGTCAGCTTTAAGACTTTACTGAAAGGATATGTTATTGAGAGAGGGCACTGAATAACTCACTCAGACAAACTTTTGACATGACATTTTCTTGTGGTCATCCATGTAAACACCAAAGGAGCCCAAGAGAGGAGCAGGGATGGTGCAGTGGTAAGAGCACTCGCCTCCCACCATTGTAGCCCAGATTTGATTCCCGAACCTGGCATTACATGTGGGTTGAGTTTGTTGTTGGTTCTCATCCTTACTCCAAGGGTTTTTCTCTGGGTCGTCTGGTTTTCCTTCCACAAAAACCAACATTCCAAATTGCAATTCAATCTGGAAACAGTGGACAAGAAGAGCCACCCAGTGGAATGTCCATTGCTACATTATTATTATTATTATTTATTATTATTTAATTCAGACAAGCTTCCAGCTTCTATTTGGCTTCCCCACCACATTCCCCCAGATTCTAAACCCTTTCACTCCCAAGATCTGATTGTTAATTCTCCCCTCTAGCTGCTACACATTTCCTTGTAAATTGCTTATGAGAATTTGTGTTCAATCAAGATAACTTCTACCTGATAGGTTTCAGTATTCTCATTACCTGTTTACTGAATCATGTATGGATATTATAGGGAGAAGTTACATATTAATCACTTCTGAATGAATGAATGAATTCCTTATTTATATTGCGCCCTTTCTATACAATAGTCAAAGGCACAGTACCCCCCATCAATTTGATAGACACTACACAAAGATAGACCACAACAGCGGGCACTACGTGCCCTACTCTTTTCGAACAGTGTGTGGGTTCTTTAACCTCCCACAAATTTTTTTTATCACATTACAAGGGCTTGTGAGACGGGACCACTATTTATCGTCCCTATCCGAGAAGACTAGAAAGTCTAACCATTTGCAGATATTATTACAAAGGCAGCACTTTCTTCTCAGTTATTTAAAGACCCTGAGTGTTGGTCTGGCTGGATTTGAACTCACAACCTCCCGCACAACAGTCCGGCGCTCTACCAATTGAGCTAACCGGGAGGCTTCATTGGGAGTTTAAGGGTTAATATTACTGAAATGCTGCAGACCTATAAATTATATACAAGGTAATTTTGGTTTTATCAACTGAGGAGATAATAAAAATTGTACAAGAAGAGTTTCAAAGCTAACATTTTGAGCGTTAGCCCTTCGTCAGAGTGATTCCATTCCATTTGCTCTGAGCAGCAAAATGCCATGTTTCATGCATTCTATCACACTAAATAAAAATTATAGTAAAATAATGTACTGTTGGAAGATAGATTTATTTTAACTTTCGCTTTTTTTCATCAGAATACTGGAGTTGTTGTCAGCAGACGGTACAAACATTTTGACTGGCTCTTTGGTCGCTTGGTTGAGAAGTATACATCTATATCAGTTCCACCATTACCAGACAAACAAATCACAGGTCAGTGAGCAGCACTTACTGGTTATTTTACTGAAGTAATCTCTTATTGATCTCTGGTTTCCCAGTTTGCATGCTTTAAAAGTGCAAGATTGTCTTCTTAGAGGGTAAGGGTGCAAGTGTCAGGCCAAACTGCATCAACTCTCAAGCTAGGTCTGTAAATAATGAGGAGATTGCACTGCCTTTCTGATGACATTAACTAATGGAAAACTGTTGCAGTCTTCTCAAAGTAGGGCTAGAAGGACTAAAGTTACAGCTTCTTACATCTTCAATTTTTGTCATCAGCAGGGAACTTTAACTAATCCACATGCTTATCAAAAAGAGTGTGGCATAAAACTCCTGTTGTTGTTGTTATTGTTGTTGTCTTCCCCTTGGGAAATTTGGTGGAAAAATTCTTGAAGAAATAATTTTGAAGCAATGATATAATTCCTCCGAAATTAGGGAACAAATAACTTATTTGTTGCATTTTTCACTTGATTAAGCTAGAGATAGAAAAGGTGATAGAGAGATTCTGCCGTTCCATCTTAACACAAAGGCCCAACCCTTCAATGTTAATTCTCGCCATCTAGCTGCATCATATCTCTTTTTAAATTAGTAATGAGAATTTGGTATCAAATCGAGATAACAACTTCTATCTCATAAGTTTGAGTATTCTCATTACCTGTTTGCTGACCAATCAATGGATATTGTAATGAGAAATTACATGTACATCAGTATTCATACTCTCCTTGCTTTTGTCTAAACCCTACCTAAGCTTCTGATTAGGAAAATTTGTTTAGCATAAAAGAGCTTTTTCAGTTAATGATCATTTTCTTTATTCTCTTGACCTTAATGTTTGATTCAGGAGTGATATGGTTAGGAGAAATTAGATATTGGTCACTTTTTGGGGTAAAATAGTTTAAGGGTTGGAAGAAACTTATTAACAATATTTTACTCGGCTGTCAGGGAGATTTGGTGAAGAGTTTGTGGAGAAAAGAAGAGATAAACTTCAACAGTGGATGAATAGAATATGTCTTCATCCTGTGCTATCTCAAAGTTTGGTGTTCAAACATTTTATTACGTGTCGGGACAATGAAAAGGTAATCGCATATCAAATCGAACAAACTTATTGAAAAGTAAGAGAGATGATGTGCAATAAGTGGTACCTTTACTGTCTGACTGAATTACCATCTGCTTTCCTCAGTTCTTGGGTATTTGTGGTTGTAATATTCTAAATTTGTAGACAGCATAAAAGGTGCGCTCTAAGTGGCTACTGAATCCCTTTTGTTAATATCCTTTCCTATTCGCCTCTGAGCAACTTGTCCAGGATTCCCCCAAACATCTTGTATTAGTTGCTGGAATAAATGAGTTAAAATCATGTTTTTGTACTATGACTGTATAGTTTCTCAATGTTTTAGTAGGTACTTCAAGAACTATTCAACTCAGTGTCGGTAGCTATTGGGGAATAAATACCTTGCTCCTTCTTGGCTGGATAAATATCTACCACCATAGAGCCTCCTCCACTTTGGTCAATAGTTATTAAAAAAAAAAAAAGATAAGAAAAGAATGTACTGCAGTATCCTCTAACTTCAGTGCCTCCATCATAACCAAGGAAATGGCCATGGTGCATTTTATACTAATGCATATACATACAGTTTATGTAGAGCTTTTCAATTTAGTTTCACAAAACTAAACATTATTGTGAGTTATCACAAAATTCAACCAGTCAGAACAAAGGGAATTGAATCCCCACAGAGACAATTAAACAGTTAAAGAAAAACCCGAAAGTAGACTTGAAGCAAAGTACATTACAACTTACTTGCATTTAAATTTTTTAATCTTGAAGTTGCGGAGGTGACTGGTTTCTCTTTGCAGGAATGGAAGCAAGGAAAGCGAGCAGCAGAAAATGACAAACTTGTTGGTGCATCTTTTTTTATGACAGTTGACTGTCCACCACAAAGATTAGAACTTGTGCAAGTGTAAGTGAAAATCCTAAATTTCCCCACTGGGCAGAAAACTTCATCTCAGAGGGTACAAACCACATTGTAATCTAGTTTCACAAGATAAGAATTAGTGCTTAAATTCTTTGTCATATTCTTCTGGCCCTCATTACCCCTTCTGTATGATAAATCTGTAGCATGTCTACTTGTGAAAGACAACATCTTTGTGAATATATCAAAGGCTACACAATATCATGAAATTTCCTCCTCTACAAATGTTTCCAAGACTGAAAAAAATTTTGTATCATGTTCTCCTATGGAGTTGTCCTTAATGTACACCAAACAACTCACCTTGTAATTCTTTGGTCTTTCAGAGAAAATAGAATGGAACAATTTGGAAGATTTATCAAAAGTACAGACGAGAGTGTTAGGTCAATTCAAGACAGAGGTCAAGTGCATTGTGAGAAGTGCCAAGGATGTAAGCAATTATCTTGTCATCTCAATTTTCTTCAGCAATTAATTAAAAGCAATTGCAGAAAAGGAGGGGCAAAAATTCGTGCTGCGACATATTTAAAACCTGTGCCTCCCAGATATGAGAAAGTTGCGACTGAGCTACGAAGCCACATGTTGGGAACAAAGCACAGTTAAGGAAGTTCTACATTTTTAATTCCAGTGTAGGGAATTTTCTGTAAAATGAATGAAATGATCCAACTAGTATCTTTGAAACATGTGTTCAAAACTTTGTCAAGGCCTAAATTTTTTCAGGCTTCTTTTCTGCCAACATCACTTCTTTACTTGTATGTCATCTGCAAGTCAAAATATGGTTTATTTCATTTCAATCTGATTTTTTGTTACTTGTGCAGTTACACTTGGTGTGCACAATCTCATCATGGTTTATTTTACTGTTAATTTGATACATGGCATCTTTCATGTCCAGGTAGTACAGGCTCTGCTTCATACAGATTAAATTGTTTCCTTTTCAGCATACAGGAGTGAATATAAGAAGATTGGTAGCACTTTTGGATCTCTTAGTGCAGCTTTTGCTATTGATCTAGATTCACAAAGTAAGTAATGCTCCTGTTTTCTCTCAAATAAAACATTCTTGAGGATTTATATCCTATTGTTTCCCTTTCTGTATAATCTTACTGTCACACTCAGGAATGCCATTACGTCAAAAATAGGTGCCAAATGTTAGTGCACTTAAAGGAAAAAAAATAGGCACGAGAAAGCCAAACCTATTTTTTTATGTGTAGCACATTTTCTGTGGTTTCATAATTCTGTTTTTAAAATAACTGTTTTTGGTTCCCTTTTGTCTGTTTTAGGTTCCCAACAATTAACTCAAGCGCTAGAGCATACTGCAAAAACTTATGACGATATTGGGGAATTGATAGCAGAACAGGTTTGTAAAGAGACTTCAAGGAAGTAATTCAATAGAGTTTCACTCTGTAACTTTTTACTGCCTTCTCCAGTAAACTAAAGGAGCACTTGGTGAAAACACGAAAAGAGATAACTGCCTGGGTAGCTGCAAGTTACCTGCTGAAACAAAAATAGGCTTATAAACCCAAGGAAACTATAGTCACTCATCCCAAATCTTCCACCTGTCAAATATGGCGACCAAATGTTTGCCTGGCTGAATCTTGTGCTTAAAACACAAGCTACTGGCTACAAGCAAGCTACCCTCCAGAGCCATTTGATGTCTCATATATGAGGTTTGGAAAGTAAAAGCTTGAATAAAAGATTGAATGTGGAATTTGTCAATTTTAATTAGGAATTCACCCCTTGATTAATTCATAGGTGTTTTCACTTGTTAATATGCTATGCGTTGTGTTTTTTCAGCCCAAGAATGACTTTTTACCTTTGATAGAAGGACTTAAGGAATATTCAGGAATGTTAAGCACCTATCCAGATGTACTACAAGTTCACAAGGTAAAAAAACAATTAAAATAGATATAATTTAATTGTGTTTGCTGTCTTTATGAACAAACATTTCCTAAAGTTACGTTGTTATACCTCCAAAGGGTACAATTGGCAAAGTGAAAGAATGTCAGAGACTTAAAGATGAAGAAAAGATGGAGGTAGTGCAGTATATTAATCTTGTAACATAGAATATTTATTCCTTTATCAGAGGTTTAACAAATAGGCCATTTTACAGTTGTGTACTTAGTTGCCAAGCCTTTGATTCAGAGTGAGGCTGAAGGTGACCTTGTATCTACTTAGCATGATAACGAAGTGATTTACATTTGAAGGCAGCAAGGTTTGTATCATAACAAGGTCAACCCTAGCCTCACTCCCATTCAAAGGCTTGGCAACCAAGCACACAACTGTAAAATGGACTATGGACAGTTGTTTAGCATGGTCTGTACTCTTATCAACATAGATATTCATTATCACAGTGGTCAAATGTTGGCTGCATCTCGTGAGTCCACATCATTTTGACCACTGTGATGATGAACATTGTTGTCCATTAGGGCACAGACCATGCTAAACCATAGCCAATTTTTTTTTTTTTTACCACAATATGGACATCAAATAAAACTATTCTTACAGTGGGTGACTATTGCACAATACATTGACATGAGTAATGTCGTCTGTACCCTTTTTTCCAACAGCAAATTGGCCAATTTTTAAACAATTTATATGTATACAGATATATATTTCAAATAAAACTGCTTGCAAAAAATAGAAATGCTTACATTGACAAGAGTTTACATGTCCATTGAGGACTATGCTGAGTTATGCTTAAACAATATTATGCAACCTTGGCAAGCTCTAAAATTTCTTTAGCACCTGGAAGAAGCAGAGAATAGGAGTTGCAACAGAGATAAAGCAAGCAGAGAGAGTTTTTCTTTGTGCTTATCTATTCCAAATTGCTCATGTAATCATTTAAGTTATCATCTGTTAGTCGAAGTTTTATATACACCTTCAATCAGTTTACATTGGATTGATTTTATTTTGCTTTTAATACTCCATTAATTTATTAAACATTGTGCTTGTTGTGGATAAATTGATGTGCTCCAAATGGGTAATTGCAGTGCTCATCAGCAGGTGATCTGTAGTTCAGTGGTCGGGCAATGAGTTACAAAGGTTAAATCCCTCCTTGGAGACTCAGATTTTCTGTCTTTTTTTTTTTTTCCCCCTTTGTGTAACTCAGTGAATAATATCTTTCTTTACTGGGTGTGAAAGATCTTTCATAATACAACTCTGGAATGCAATATTTCAAACAGTGAAAAATTTAGTGTTGTCTCTGGTTTCTTAGAGGTCTATGATATGATTGACATCAGTACTGAGTAACAAACATTCATTAATAACCAAATAGGTTACATGTTGCATAAAGGTGCAGATGACTTATTGTTCTTCTAAAAATTAAATGTACTGTTGAACCTGCTTGTTTGCCAGCCCCTACCATTGGGACTATGTCACTTTGCTTTGAAGAATTTGCAGTGATGACACTTCAGTAGGAATTATTTTTAGCTTTATAACAAATCCATCGTCTTGGGTGCAGTGGTATTTAAGAAATTTAATAGTGAGAATAAAAACCATTAGTAATTAATTAATTAGTTATTATCATTATAATACCTTTTCAGGATTCTACCTTTCATGAAGTGTGCTTACGAGCTGACACTATAACAAATGTTTCATTTGGTAAGTGTACCATAGCTCTGAACCTAAACTACAGACTTCGCAGGAAACTTGATGTGCTGATTACCATTTGATATAACAAACATTGAAGGGTTTCCAAACTAGTTTTAAAGTGACAGCAAAATAAATTTGAAGTTAGGGGTGTTCCAAGAGGCTATAATATCGCTATGGTGATATCTTGTAATGGGAAAAAGACATTTTTTTATTGTCTAGTGATACTTGCAAGAGATTATTATCATACCTGATATCATAACCAGAGAAAGCTGTGAAAAAGTTACATGACTTGATGTGTGGTTGTATTGATCCATCAAACTACTGGATGCAAAAAAAGATTGAGGGAAATCACAGTGAGCCTCCTAAATTTCACTCAGCTTTGTTGTTTTTCAAATTACATTTATTTCTGTTCACAGCTGAAATGAGCCATTTTCATGATCAAAAAGTTGTAGACTTTAAAAGTATGATGCAGCACTTTCTTCAAGAACAAATTAGCTATCACCAAAGGGTAAGGTGTTTAACTTAACTTGGTTGTTTGAAATTATACAGTCATGCAAAAAATCTCAGCATGCATTTTAGTATATTTGTCTTTTCAACAATTATTCATGGAAAAGGAGGTGATTAGTTATGAATATTTGGTTAGCCATGAAGCAGGGAGGTAAATATCCACCACCTTCTCTAACACCAAGGTGAATAATTCCGTTGGTATATACCACACAAAAACCAAACAAATAGTATATTTCTGTCAATATACCAAAACATGGTTGGAAATTAAGTTGTTGACCTGTGATTTTGTATCTTCAGTTTCTCGGAGGTGAATAGTACTTGTTAATCAGCCTATATTCACTTGTGCGGTACATACGAATAATTTCACTCCATTACTTGTTTATGATATATATCACTAAAATATTTACAGTGTTTATTCAACTTTTCTGCTCTCACTTAATTTTAGCCCTTTACTTTGTCTAATTAATTTTAAACCCTTAGAAAACCATATCAGCTTTTATAAAGGTTTGCCTCCAAAGAAGTCCCCTCATTAAAAATGAGCCTTAACTAATAGAACAATTTTGTAATGTAATGAAACCTGCTTTTATTCTAGAACACATGTTAAAAATAAATGTTAAAAAAATAGAATTTTAAGTGCAACTTTAGGTCAATTTAATGCTTCCCATTTTTTTTTTTAATTTCGTCTGCAAATCCTTTCTCTGTTGTGAATCATTTTTTTCTGCTGTTGCTAGGTGATACAGAGGTTGGAAGAATCCTTGAAGATGTATGATAATGTTCAAGTATAACTCATCATACTCGTTTGATATTGATTCACCCGTTAAATACATGCATCTCTAATTTTTTACACACAATGAAATGTACAATTATCAGCTTGATTTGTCTTTTGTGGGAGTAAAATTATAGAGTAAATATTATGACCAGATAGCACTGTTTGTTGCAGTAAGCACCTCGTTAATTAAGGTTCTTTAAAGTTTTTGTTAGGGTTCTAGTCAAATTATAGAAAAATTCTATTTTAGATTCTATGAACTGATGGTAATTACAGTGGTGCCTTTTTTATATGTGTGCAAAACTAACATTTTGATATTTAAATGAAATCTTAAATGAACCAGAAATTATTTTATGAAGAACTAGCAGTCTTTCTTTGTGTCCCTTGTATTAATATATGCTTGTAGGGTCTTGAAAATAGTGGAAATCAACTGAGATGTAGAACTTGTTATGACTCAGAGGATCACAACATTTGTGAAGCTTATTTAGGGAGAGAAAGAGAAAGAGAACCAAGGAAATAACATACTGGAAAACTCACATGTTTTTGAACACCAGAACTATTTCAGAACTGTTTTTGTGTCTAGAAAGAAGCCAATTTGATGTGAGATAAATGAACTGTAAATATCAGCAGTGATAAGAATGTGAAAAACAACCCCAAAATATTTCAGGTGTTCACCGTGTTTTCAGCTGGATAGTAACCTTGTATGCCAGCAATGAAAGTGTTTCATCAATATACCACTTTCAAACAAGGAGTCAAAAATGAGAAAAGAATCGATTGTCAGTATTTGTACTTTTGTACAATAATATGCACCCTCACCAGGTGATTGATATATTGAGTTAAAATAGAAAATTGAGTTAAAATTAATTTTGTTAAAAATTGAGTTTATATTAACTCTACAATTCGTAAGATCCAATTAGAATTCTCCCCATGCTCTGACCACCGTGTATTTCCTTTTAGATTGAAATAGAATAATTTGGTCTTAGATCAGGACTGCCCTATTTAGCCAATAGTCTCTTCTCAAAGCCTGTTGATAAGAAAACTTATTGGAATTACAAGGAGAAATTACATTAATTTTAAATCATTTCTGGGGATTTAAGGGTTAACTGGCTGTTGGTCAGGAAACAATCCAATAGCAAAGACAGAGCTCAGGATGTGGCAGAATTCTAGCTTAGCCATATATATGACCCAGTTGTATAAAGGTGGATTAAATGCTCTCTAATGGATAAATTGCTATCAAGCAGATGAGTGATAGCAAAATGTACTGCACTCCACTAGATATATTTATCCAGGGGATAGCATTATCCAACTTTCCAACAAACAGCGCATGGAGGGTTTTTGGCAATTTAAAGGAATTATGAAACAAAACTAGGGATTAGAGGGTTTAAAAAAAAAAATGATATACCTTGGGTGGGTACATTGTATGGATATTTTGTCAAGTAAGCAAGAAATCCTCAGAAATATTAGAGACAAATGTGTGGCTTTGAGACTAATTACAAGTTAGAGTGGTTAGTAAGTGCATAGTGCATCATGATTGTAAGCAATGTATATGGGATTGTATATAATGAGGGCATAGTTAGGATTTTTCAATGGTAAGCATCAATTTTTCTTAGTACAGATCTTTTCCTCTAATGTTAATATGCATTAATTTGCTCACATAATTACAATATTTTGTGCTCCCTCTGCTGTATTTGTAAATTAACAGAAAATTGATACAGAACAACAGACAAGCAAAATATAAATGCGATTTTTTTCCATCTTTGTGTATTACCTCTTGGTTTTGTTTGTTTATTATTATTGTTTGCTATCATCTTCTCCAGACAGAATCATTTGTCATAAAACCACTGGGGGAGGGGGGGGGGAAATTCATTGAAAGGGTTGATAATTGAAGAAAAGAAATACACCTGTTAGTCAAACCTCTTTGATTTTGCAATGGAATACTTTGACATATATTTTGATAATTATCTTTTTTCGTGATTATAACTGTTTCAGCTATAAAATAGACCCCTCCAGTTAAAAATTAGCAATGAATACAGTTCAATTAGAATTGTTGGCTGACATACTACACACAGGTGCAGTAATCCAGCTGGTTTGAGAAAAAATGTTGGAAAAAAGACTATTTCAGCTATTAAATAAACCCCTCCAGTCAAATAATAAGCAATAAATACAGCTCAATTAAAATTATTGGCTGACATAATGCATAAAGGTGCTGTAATCCAGCTGTTTTTAGTAAATATGTCAAAAAAAAGACAAGAAATCTCAAGTTCACCTAGTGAATAATTTATATCCTTTAAATATTTTCAACAGTAGAACTGTTCTTTTCAGTGTAATTTAAAATATATCACTATCATTGCCATTACAGTAACTACTATGTGATATTACAATCCATCAAATATTTTTGCTTGTGTGCCACTGGTCTAGTAATTGTTACAGAAGAAGACACGTGTTTATTTTTTTCATAACTCATACCAGAGAACACTCAAAAGTAAACATCCCATGCAGTAATCAGTTAGCTGTTCCTTGAAATTGTTCTCCTACACTGCAAAAATATTTGAGGAATGGTGAACACAATAGCCTCCATTTGGTGCAAAAATATACTCATTCACTTGGCTTTGGACATTATCTGTTCCTTAAAGCTTGCATTTTCCTCTAGCTATGCTCTTGGAAAACAGTTCCCAACTCAGAACAGATAATGTCCATGAAAGAATATCTGTGCATATTTTAACACAAAAGGCAGACTATTGTTTAAATAATTATTGTAAATTTTTATCCACATTAAATGTACCTTCATTATTTATATCATGGGCATCAGTTAGCTCTGGATGCTTGTCATGACCTACTGGATAAATAGTTGTTACTGACAGGTACTCATCAATGGTTCTTTCTGTACACCTGGCCACAAATCTTATAAAGGGTCTCACATCACCATGATTTGCCATATCTAAGTATTCATAATATTTGTATCGGTCTTGAAATCTAATGATAACTGGAGGGAATCCTGCTCGCATTAAAATGGAATTCATTAGCAGCCTGCTAGTTCTTCCATTGCCATCTGTGAATGGATGAATGTAGACAAGTTTGTAATGTGCAAGAGCTGCAAATTCTATGGGATGAAGCATTTCAGGATCCCTGGACAACAGCCACTCATTGAATTCATTCACATGTCTTTCGATCTCCATTGGGCTGGGGGGAACATGATTCCCCACAAATACCTGTGTAGTTCTAAATCTGCCAGCTTCCAAAGGATGAGCATGTCCCAGCACCCGGCGGTGTATTTCAAGAATCTCTTCAATAGTAATTTTTTCCTGTTTTTGAAGTAAGGACCCATTGACAAATTTCATTGCCTCGTCAAGTCCTAAGACTTCATTGTGCTCTAAAATACTCTTTCCAGGCACTGCCATTCTTGTTTCTACTATTGCTCTTGTCATTGATAATGTCATTGTGTTACCTTCAATGGCATTTGAATGATATATATGTTGGTAATAAGCCTCAGTAACAGCTCTTTTCATAGCTAGGCTTCCCTTTGGAACACGGAAGAGTTCATCTCTTTTCTCTTCAATCTTATTAAGCATTTCCTGATCAAGCTGTCGTACCTTAGGTAACGTCCTTCCGCTGTTTACCATTGCCCGAGAGTTTTCAGGACTAACAGCTAGAGCTCTTGTATACAGATGCTCTGCATGAATTATATCGTCGTCTTCAAGAAATTCTCCTTAATGTAAAAGAATTTCAGGGTGATGAGGTGATAATGCCTCAGCTTGTTTGAAAAGTTTCAAAGCTTTGTCTCTTTTTCCTTCACCATTCATTTCTAATGCAAGTTTAAGAGCTTGAAGAGCCTCCCCTTGCAAAGGAGCTGTAGAAGAAAAAAAAGGTTACAAAAGTGAAACTCAGCAGTAACATACAACAAGCATTGACACCATCCCAGTGTGGAACCAGAAATTCATGATTGGTGGAGGGTGCAAACCTTGATTAAAAAACACAGAAATGTATTTTGACTCCAGGCCCTAAGATAATCAATATTTGTATTTTAAGACAAATAAATTTAACGTTTTTTTCACCTTGGGTAGTATCACAGGCACCTCTCATTGTAAGGAATTTGGTGTCTGACAAGATATTTAAAAATCCCTCAGGTTTGATAGGGTGAGGAGGTGCAGATCCCCTGACCCAATCCCTAGCTCCAGCATTCCCCCACCCACCACCCCCACCTTCGACAGCCAGTTACCTAAGAAATAATTTTGAATATGATTTTGTATAATCCTGTTTCAATAAAAAGTTTTGATTTGTATTTTTTTTTAATGTTTGAATGTGGTTGTCAGTTGCAGGCATGATCAACAAGTTACTTCTCCTTACAAAATCCATATATCATCATTAAAATAGGAGATGAGAACTGACTTACTTATCAGCTAGAGAGTCCTGACACGAGAGCTTGATGTGACATCAAATTCTCAAAACTAATCAACAAGAATTTTTACCACAACTGGCAGTAATGTCGCAATCTGATTGGCCAATTTGCCGTTGTAAGAGTACAGACAACCCTACTTGCATCAACATGTCACATAATGCTAGTATCAGTTTTGAAACAAGAATGTCTTAATACTTTGATAAATAAAAAAAAAACAAAACAAAACCACAGTGGTTTAGCATGGTCTGTAACATACTCTTCTTGAAAACAATATTTGTCATAACAGTGATCAGACTTTGTTGCAGACCCACTTGGCTGCCGCTGTAAGTCCACAACATTTTGATCACAAGGGTAAAGACCCCTTCAAATCATTGTTGATTTGTTAAATATAAACCTGACAAAAAAGGGGATTAATAAATCAGATTCTTGGACATTGAGAGGGTTAACTGACATGAGTTCTTTAGTCAAATATAAATTCCCGTCTTTCTCAAATAACAATCTAGTCTTGGCACCACAATCATAAATAAGTATTTAAGCCTATAAGTCATGAAATACTGAAGTATTTAGGACAGGCTTGTCAGAGGTACAACCAGAACTAATCTAGATTGACCATATAACTACCATGAGTGAACAAGAGAGAGTTTCTCATTCCAATATCAATACAATTTCAGGCAAACAAGTGAGGAGAAAATAGAATATCAGGAGATAATTGGTTGATCAAATACCAAATTCACTGAACTAACATCATAAGAATTCTATAGAAGACTGTAAGGAGAATTGTTAAAGAGATCTTGGGAGTGAAAGGATGAACTGTCATGGCAATGTATAGTGTTTCAGCCTGTAGTTAACCTCAGGTTTGGTTGAATCAGGTTCCAAGCAAGGCAGTCAAGTACCCAGATATAAAGTACAGTAATTCGAAATCACACTCCATACCTATGACATCATAGGTAACACTGGACAACTAAAGCCACTTGTAAGTGACCATAGTGAGACAATCTTCTGTTGATCATATGCTTTCCTTGTAGTAAAACATCCTATATTTCACGAACTATCTAGTATAACCTCTCCCAATAATCTTGATATCGTTATTGAACCCATTCGTAGAGTAAAAGAAGAGGATCTAAGACCATCAAATTCATCACGCTTCGAAGAAAGCTTGCAGTGATTTTTTTTTATTTTTTCAAAGCATAGATATGGCAGGGAAAAAATGAACAACCACGTAAAATGTGTTGAGCCGTTGTAAACCGCAGTCTACATCTATGTGCTCAAAAGTAGACATTCTTCCTCCTTTTAAGTAGATCAAATTAGTCAAGGGTAAATCTCGAGCCAAGATAAAAGATCAACAATTTCAAACAGGAAGTTGATCTCCGATTCGAGAAATCAGATGTAAAGTTCGGATCACACTCATCTGTCATCCGTATAATTTCTTGCCGGATCGCCTACATTTACATCTTCCTACGGAATACAAACAATGAATTAAATACAATAAAACATCATAAATATCACTCACTTTTCTCCACTAAAGCGGTTTGCGGTGCTAAGACAAGATTGAACCCAGGTGCGTATGATTCCAGCGATGGTCGCCAAAACCACGGCCTCCATATTGAAGGAATGTAAGTCGCGATCAATGCCACAGCAACTCCAGTAAGGCTTGCAAGAATCAAATGAAATACAGGGGGCATATTTCTCAATTTCGAGGTTGTAATCAATGATAATCGAAGTCTATTGCAGAATTCACAAAGTTGCGTCACTCCGTCCGCCATATTTGTTTTTACTTTCCGAAGGATTACATGTCGGTTATTGTACGTGCTCGCATTTGATTGGTCGAGAGAGAAGGCAACAAGCACAGTTAGGGGGCGCGCGAAAAAGAGAGGTGTTTGAGCAACAGGAAGAAATTCAAATAATAATAATAATTTCTAAAAAATTCAAATAAGCTGCAAAGTTGACGTTAAATTATGAACATCCTAAGTGTTTGCTTTGCACGCAGTTCCTGTCGATCGTCCAACTTTGCGTAAACCCAAAGAGAACTGACGAGATCTGTATCCAGGGCCCTTGTTCTGAATGATGGGTTACGTAACGAGATCTGTATCCAGAGCCCTTGCTCTGTATGATGGGTTACGTAACCCTTTCTCTGGGGTGTTGCATGGTATGTTGTTACAATTGCTTCATTAGCGGTAGGCTATATATTCGAGCTGTTGTCATTTATATCAATTTGCGTCTTACGACCGTCCCTACGTCCTCAAAATTAAATACCCAGTGACTAGGGATTGTCAGTTTCTCTTAGAAGTAGTTTTTTTTCTTTTTTTTTTTTAGTATATACGCACATAGTTTAGATTGTTTTGTAAAGTGGTTTTTCTTGCTTTATTTTTTACATTTCCGACCTTTCATTCCATTGATGTACCATTCCTATCAATTTTGTTGATGAAGGTATAATGAAGAGGGTCGCATACGGCTCGGCTCCTATTGACACACCCCAATCATGGTTACTAATAAATGTGTTATCCTCGTTTGAGAGGGGAAGCGAATTAGAATATAATTGAACTGGGCAACCAATAGTTTCGGTACGAAAATACAATTTTTTCGCATGAACCGACACAAAACAAAGAAAAAAAGAAGCCTTAATCGCCGGTTATTTTAGCGCGCAAACTGTTCAGTGAACACAAATCATTTAATTCATTTTTTGTTTTCTTTCTCTTCTTAGGTCCTCTGCCTGCCGTGAGGATCATTTCCCTGAGGCACATTCTGCGAAATCAAAGAGTGAGGGGGAGACAGTGGGTAGAAGAGGGCGGGAGGGGGATTTGTATTTGGAATTTGTCACAACTGTTAAGTTGTGACAACTTAACAGCTCAATGTATAAGCGCTGGACTAATGTGCGGGAGGTCGAGGGTTAGAGCCCCGGCCGGACCAACACTCAAGGTCGTAAAATAATTGAGAAGAATTTGCTCCCTTTCTATAACATCAAGAAATGGTTAGATATTCTAGTCTTCTCGGATAGGGACGAATAAATGGATGTCCCGTCTCCTGCAGGGTTGGGGTAGGAGACGTTAATTTCCCACACACGAGATTACTGTGTGATGGATGTCCTCCCCTGGGGTGGGATGGGTGGGTTGTTGTCTTGCGTTTCATACATGAGCCTGTGGCTCAGGCAATATGGGTAACCATGCCCCACGTAAAGACATTAAACTTTGATTACTGTTACTATTACTATTAAGACCATAGATTTAAAGTTAAGTCAACATTTGCAGAGTCAGTTTTTCTACACCCCCATCCCAGGAAGATAGACTTGTTAAAAGTTGAAAATTGTCAATAAAGGTAACAAAAGTTCTCATATCAATGTCGGTATCTACCTGCCCCTTCCCTAAATAAAAATAGTCAACTAATAACAAGTTAAGTGAATAAGGGGGGTAAGTTTCTGAAGAAACAGGTCAAAGTTTATTTTTTGCTAGGGGGGGTGGGTGGATACTAACTTTGATCCAACTTTTCAACACTATCAAAAAAAACCACACCGGTTTGTGTTTTTGTTTTACTTTCATAATCATTTTTGTGACTCACTAAGCAGATAGAAGTACCTACTGTCTCTATATTTTATCCATTATCTAGGTAACAGTTTCATCATAAATACATGCTTAATATAGTGAAAATCTTATCTTATCATCTCCTACCATCTTACTATCAAACAATCTAGGATACTTTTTATGTCTAACATCCAGCTAAAGTTCTAAATATTTCTTACAGCAACCACTGAAGAATAATTTGTAAAACCTCATGAAAATATCAAGTATTGAACAAGGTAAACTGACTATGGAATCTTTTAAACTGAGATATCTACAAGGATTCTGACCAGGACAATACACTGGAAAGTTTTGGTGGTGACATGATGACTAGTCAAGATGGACCACAAAAGCTGAAAAGAATTCTCTGGAAAACTTCTCTTCTAAGTAGAGGAACATTCCCTACCCCACCCCCAACAAATGTGTTAAGCTGGGTGTTGTCATGGTAATCTCTAACCATATTTCAGACTCCTACAAAAGGAAATACATATTGTGTTTTCAAAAACCAAATATGCAAAAAAAAAACATTCAAAGGTTTTCTTCTCTTAGTAAAAGGAAAATTTGAGTTTTAAGTCCCAAAGCAAAATGGCTTTAATTCTGTTAACAATTATTAAAACTATATCTTAATCAAAATAAAAAAATTAATATAATCATCATTGATATTTTTCTTTAAAAGATGCTCATCTGTGTTAAAAGAGAAACCTATAGCTAACCATTCTGAAATCATCTTTTAAACATGTTAAAAATCTGACTAGGAGAGCTGCCATTTTGATCTCTATATTTAGTTCTTATTAACCAAGTGGGAGGTCTGTATGGGAGAATCTTGAACAAGGTCGCCAGTACAGACCAAACGCAGTGAGGTCTGTATCAGCGACCGAGGTCAATATTCTCCCATACAGACTGATCTAGCTCAGTTAATAAGACGTTTATTATATGGCTGTGTCTTATATGCCAATTTTTCATATTCTTTGCACCTTTTTTTTTCTAGTCCGGTCTAGATGCCAGTCTAGATGGGAACATCTAGACCGCTTTCAATATTGACTCCAGCCAATCAAATTCGTGAATTCAGTAGTTCCCAGTCCTTGTGAGACACAGCCATATAATAATAAAGCATATTGAAGTTGCTAGGAGGATTAACAAACTGATTGTTCCTGAGAGTTGAAGGATTAATGCATTTTCAACATTAACTTGTGAACAATCAGTGATCACTTCCAACAATTCCACTTTTCAATAAAATCTGGCTTTAGAAACTGCAAAACTCAATTAAAAATGACTTTTTGACTTACTATTTCCACCCAAAATGAAAAATATGAAACCTTTTTGTGAAAAACTGAGATGAGTGCCCATTTCTTTTTTTTTTAGATAAGGTAGACCACCAGTATTTTTTCAATTTCACTCACACATTGCTCATGTCAGTTTTCTCAAGTACTGGTAATTATTCCATTTAAATTACCACAAAAGAAGAAAAAAAAGAGAAAAAAGAAGAAATTTCCAAAGCCGTCACTTCAGTGGTTCATCGATGTCACTCTAAGAGAAAGATGTCAACTATTTTTTTTTTCATTGATTGCAAACTGCTAAAGAACAAAGGATTGTTATTCTTTCAAAAGGCCCACTGTTATAGACAATGTCCTCCAAAGTACTACATGTAAATGCCATAACAGTAGTTGTGTCTCTTGTGGTAGAGTCTGTGTTTCTTGATTCACTTCATAAAGAATTGATGTTCAGCAACTTCTCATCTACTGAAGCTATGAACAGATCTTGGTCTGAAATAAATTGATAAAATATTATTCTGGGAAAATTTCTGCTCAAGTACAAAAGGCATTTGTTACACGACTTTGACCTCCAAAGAATGGTCATAGTACATAAATGTACAAAATAGTTCCTAATCATTTGCTGGTAAAGAAAAAGGGAAGGGTGTTTTAATATAAGAGGAAGTAGACTGAGGTTGTCTCTCCTTTAACCTCCTTCAAGAAATATTTTGAGACTCCTTTCATGACATGATCTTCACATGCATGTGATTATGACAACACAACAGAACTGCTGGAATAGCATGATTGTTCGACAGTTTGCAGATATACGACTTGAGATACAGAGTACTATCATGTGCATTAATTGTTACCAAAATATCCTCTTTGAGACATGTGACCAGACTACAATAAAATTATAACAACAAAAAATAACATAGATGCTCAACTTAAAAACCAGTTTTTGGAGCATGAAGAAACCAGTGGAATTTCTAATATTTCTGAAGGGGATGCAGGAGCATTGCAGGTTAAAAACTCCCTCACCTGACCCCTCAGAATATTTCAAAAAGTTTTCCAGACAGTTTTCCAGTAAAATGAAACTAAAGCAACTTGCTGAGACCACAACCCAAGGATCCGGCCAGGACCAATCCCTACAACAAATCCAAGCATTTTCCCCAAAAAAGAACAAAATTTCTTGAGTAACAAAAGTGCAGGAAACAACTACAAATTATTATCACTTTGTTGCACATTCTGCCAGATAAAATGGAGATTTTGTGGTCTAAAATATATTGTAGCCTGCCTGCACATTTGGAGTTTTTATTTTCCCAATGCCCTCCAAAGTCATAAGAATAGTAATACAGTTTATGTTCTTGGGGATAAATATGTTCTTGTCCCTGTCACAGTCATTTCACCATGACCTTGAGTGAGCCCCAAATCATTTTAATAACTCTTTTATTTTATTACTCAGATATCTCGCTTATTTCAAGAACATGGCCACCTTTTTAAAGATTTTAAATACTCAATTTTCTTTGTTCTTCCAAAAAGCACAAGTCTATCAATTTAGTTTTTTTAAGAATTTATTAATAGACTGTAGCAATAACAACTTGACAATGTGTTCTTTCTACAAACTCAATAGTCCATTAACTCATTAATTTATCATTTACTTATAAATGATGAAATGAACATTCATCACAGCAAACCAGGCCACACCACATTTGCACCTTGTCAATAATTGGATTTAAATAAAGTTCAGTGTGCTCTCCTTTTCAAATAAATAGCAATTTAAGATAGGCTCTGGTATCACACAAAACTCTTACAGTTATTTTGGCACAGTACTTGCAGAGATGAAATTTCAAAACATGATTTATCTATAGGAAAAATTTGCAGTACTCTGACACACAATTCCTTTGTTAGTATGACCACCTCGTTACTACAACTAATTTCTGTGCTCTACCAAATGCAATAATCAGTCTCTTGCACCAAATATTTGGTGCACTCTAATCAATCCAAAACCGTTAATCTATAACTACTAGTAAAGCTATACCATTTCTTTAGCATGCTGAATCCATACTTGCCTACCACTGCACTATCTCTGAAATCAGTCATCTGACAAGCATATAAATTCATCAGAGTCAGAATTATGGCCAACTTAAGATAACTGAATAATGTTTTATATGCCTTTGTATGCCAAAACTTACTGAATAAAATCATGCGTAGTGAATAAACGCAATAGAGGTAACCTCATACACACTTTTTAAGATGCAATTATTATCACTATGCAATGTGTTTGAGCAGATATCCCACAAGTTCCTAATGATATATACAAAAAATTTCATATTGATACCTTGAATAATATCAGATCTGAAAATATCAGATTTAAAGCAGTATGTGAAAACAATTCATTGAGAAAACATTGGGAAAAGCTTAATTTGCAAAATAATGATATTACACACAGCCACTGTTTAGACAATTACAAAGTTGAAATATTGCATTGCTGGCACAATGGACATGTACACTGTCAGTGACTAGTTTAAAGAATGACATGTTCATTATACTTTTAACAATATCAGGCACCTCAACACCTTGTGATTGTATGGAGACATAATTTAGTTGAATGTGCATCTTTTAAAATTACAAGCTAGAACAAGAGTTCCTAGGTACTTACAAGAAAACTTACATATCATGAACAGATAGATGAGATAACATAATTTTATTGCGTGTGCATCACATATTTGGTGCAGTGATTTGAACTGAACCTCAAATTTGCCAAGTGCTCTGGGCTAATTATGTACCCACTTCTAGTCTTGTCCTAAACTAAAATAAGTGTGTTGTCAAAAATTGTTTCAACAGTGATTTAACAAAAGATTTATACATTACAACATCTTAATGAAAATGGAATAAAGGTCCTAAAATTAGTCTTGTGAACTTTACAAGTTAAATTTTTAAACATAACTTTTTGACAAATTAGTGTTTAATTCTGTTAAGCAGCACAAATTACTCATGAAATAAAATTAGTTATGCAATGCAAGTTTAATTTCCCATCTCCCGCAGCTGCATTCCACGATCAGTATGGGTATACTCCCTGTGAATGAAAAATAAGGTCTTTTTAAACAAATGTTGGAGAATGCTAACACTACAAACTAAATACCAAGGCAGCATTTCCCTGCATAATGATCAGGTTGAGTTTTGGTTCTAATCTTCTAACGAATCGCCCCTTTTTTCTTTACATTCAGACCTTTTGCAACAAACCTTAACAAATTGGTCAATCAGTTTCCATATTTTATAGTGATTTTGATTACTTTAAACACCTGATAAGAGTTGACCCCAAAACAACCCCAAAACGACCCAGGTATGGAATTTAGAATTTTATCATTCCTCAAATGCTAGCTCATGCTTAATATGATAGTTTCCCAAAATTACTTGCTTTCAAAAGTCAAAAGTCAATTTGCAAAGAAAAGAAACTACTTGAGGCATTTTTTTTTGTCCTAAAAACTACACGTCAGTTTCATAAACCAAAATTTTTCTTCCAATAGTTTTATAACAAGGACACTTTTTTTGCTGATCTTCTTGTGCTTAACAGCTGTTACAGGCAGACTTTGTTTAAATATTTAACTGTAATGCTCATCCTTGGTTTTCCAAGACATAGCTTTTTCGTCTCTTCTGTAAGAATGTTTACTTGACAGAGTTCAGCATCATTTATTTAATAACTGATACAGATACCTGGGGTTGGGGTTAGGGTTAGGGTTAAGGACTGAACAGAATGCAGCTGCTTAAGTTTACTTCTTGATGTCATTAACAGCAAAAACTTAAACTTTAAGTATCTTGTGTTAATCAAAAGTTTAAGCTTTGTTTGATACCAAACAGGTGATTAAAGAAATTTCGTTTCTTAAGCTTTTAAGGAACTCTTTTAAATGAATTAAGAATCATCAACGGTTTTAATTGGAATGATGCACCACTTCTTAGAGAGAATGTTCTTGACTTACTATGAAAACCAGCAATCTGTGGAATGGCCTAAATTTATGCATCACTGCCCCACTCTCTTTCATTTAACATATATATTTCATTCCATTCCCATTCTATGTGCATGAGCTACCCTTGCTTCACATTTTCACATCCTTCTACAAACAAGTCCATTCAAATTGTTTTACTGTTTCATTTGGCAATCACAGTAAAAACTTCACACAAAGAAGCCTGCGGTGACTTCAACCCCTTTTCCTATGATGCCCTGTATTATCATCCTTCATAAGTCTTCTCCAACAGCTTTTCTGCAACTATTTAACCTCCCAGACACTCTTTGCTCTGCCATGATTTCAGGAATTTGAACTATTTACACGAGAATTTGGTTTTTGGATCAACTAATAATCACCTAATTGATATTTTTCTTTATTCCCATCACTTATCTGCTTAATATTGTGTTGATATTGTAAAGAGAAATTCCCTCTTGGTCACTCATAGGAGTTAAAGGGTTAAGCAAATCACATACTGCTTCAATACCTTCCTCCCACAAACATAAATGCAGGCACAATGGTTGCACCAAAGTGAACCAAAAGTAGATAACAACAGAACATGATTTATGCTTGTGAATGTTTCAGAGAAAAATTTTCAATCTTAACACACTGAAAAGGAAGAATAGACTTACCTTTTTCCAAACTTGAGATGAATAATCAAAAAGGATGCTCCCAAAACTAAGCAAAGAATTCCTACAGTGATGTAGGCAATTCCAAGGAAAGGATTCTTTCCACCTATCCAAGATGTGGTACTTAAAATCACTCTCTTTTTACCATCAAATGAAGTCACAGGAAAATCTGTGCACATTGGTTACAAGTCAAAGAAGTTACTTGAGAGGAAATTGTATCATCAAAGGTAAGCCAAGTGTTAAAAATAAAAGTGTAAAGTCTTCTAATACAGAATGGAACTGTTATTACTGGTTAACAATGGACCATTATCCACCAACAAAATAATAATAAAAATAATCATAATAATCATAAAAATTGACAATCTTTAGACAGGGTAACCACTTCAGTTATTGAACTGCAATCAATATTGGTCAGGTTAAATCAGTAAATGAAATGATAAATACATAAAATTGTGAACATATAAAATAGCATATACAGTGCATAGAAGAAAGAAAACAGCTTCAAGGATTACAAAATGCCAAAGATAACAAAAAAAACTTAATGCTTCATGTGCCCTCTGACTAAGGACCAGGAGAAAGATACACATATAGATTATTTAAGAGCAAGCAACTACATACTTAGGACCCATTTTTGAATGGCCAGTGGAACATATTCTGGAGAAAAAAAACTCGTACGGAAATAAGGTACAAGATCAAAAATAAGTTCTATACATAAGAGTTCAAAGAGCAACAATTTCCATGTAGTAAGTTGTGTCAACTAAACATTTTCACACCGCACCACTTTCAAAAATAGTTAACCTTTGAAATAATTCCCATAGTCTTCTGCCAACAATATGTCACTCAGTGACTCAAATGTTGTGGTCTTGAGTTTTTTAGGTGCCACACCTTTTCGATGACTGTCACCTCTCTCAACATATCATAGAATACTTAAGTTACACAAATTGACATATCAAAATAACTGTAACTGATACCACTCATTACTCTGTGAATTACTTGGTTGACACCACACCATATGTCTTTACTGGGAGAACATTCAGCACCAGTGCAGTTCTAAAGCAACTACAATAAAGGATACTGTACACGATATCAAGCTGGTATTCGCCTTTTGGCAGACCATTCTTAAACTCCCCAGCATGGACAATTTTGCGGTAGAGCTTGCGGAAAGTTGAAAATGCTGCTGTCCTCATCCAGACGATGAAATCCTCATTCTTGAAGCCATTGTTTTCAGTGTTGTTTGTGTCTAATTCATACACAGGTCTTGGCCAGTTGGGTGGTTTGGCATAGCCTTTGAAAGCTTCCTTCAGGTTCCCAGATGGATTTTGGAATTTCACATCTCTGTCAGATTTCCAAGCTATATCTTTATTGGACAAATCCACATTGATCTGTTGGTTGGCAGTCTTGAGGTATGTCAGTTTAAAAGAGTCTGAAAGAAAAGAAGCAAAATATATCAGACTAAAATGTAATGCTAAAAGCAAACGCATGTGAGGTGTAGACCTACACAACTACAACATACATTTTATGGTAAGTTCTGTTAAATATGTTTGAAATGATACACAACCTAACAATCTGACTTCATCAAGCACCCAGCAACATCACATGAATCATAAACAAAAGTAACAAGTTACAGTGTACACGGTAAATCAAAGAAGGGTTCTAGTTCAGTAACCATATATGAACCAGATAACACAATGACAGGCTGACAAATACTCAGACTGACGCTTACATGAGCTAACAGACAGACAAAAGATAGACAGACAGAGTGACTCACAGATCAACCAAGAGATGAACAGACAAGCAGACAGACAAACAAAAAAAAGACAACCTGACCCAGCCAATTCACCAACTCTCTACTGACAGGGCTCCTAACAGAGTAATATTGTTTATTTGGTCTGGTTACAGCTGCACAGTAACAAAATTATCATTATCAGAAAAATTACACCTACCGTTGAACAACCTATTGGCTATAGCTCCACATGGTGCAATAGTAGTACCATTGACTTTTGCAAAAGGATCACAGTCAGATGATACTTTTTCACTCAGTTGTCCATTGAGTTGAAGGTCATCTCTTGATCTGACATAACGACGGTGATTCTATATTGGTAAAAACAATAGAATTGAGCTTTGCAAATTTAGAAAATTTAAGATTCAGCTAACCCTTCCAAAACAAAACATTACTGTATTTAATTAATTGAAACACTGCAACATTTGTAAAATTTTTCACCCTTCTGACAGACCAGTTATTGTACATTGGTGTTTCTTTATATAAATCTATTCCGTAACTCACTGATAACAATCACAGAACATAATTTGAATGAAATGAACAGAACAAACATGTTTTAAGTTGTGGTGTCTAACTTTTATACCAAGAAAACCATAATTATCTAATTTGTGATATATACAACAAGTATGATGAAGATTATTAAACTGCGTATGATGGACGTATCAAATACCGCAGTTCAAAATATATGATTTTCATATATTTATTCTATCTCATTATTAAACTGCCTTTTCTTTTAACACCTAGAATAAACACTACACTCTTCTGATTGCATGAAACAATTATTAGAAGGAGGTGTGCATTGGTAATTTCGTTTCCATCTATAGCAATTAATCAAGTAATTAAGGACAGTGTTTAATCACTTTACTTCAGTTTTGAATTTCATATATAAATCTAACTTTTTGTTAGTACTATGAGAAAGGATTAAGGAGTATTTGACACCATTGGATCATGTCTTCTTAGATAAAATTACTTGGTGAATAAGCAACACTATTTTGCATAACAGAATGATCACAGTTTCTTCTGCCTCTTCTTGTGATTGCTCTAAAAGTTCCATGGACTACAAATCTTCTGCTTGGAAGTCTTGAATGCTTTGATTGACTGAAAAGATTGGGTTTTTCCAGTTGAAGTAACTGCACAATAAAATATGTGTCATTCTTATGAAAGAATAACAAACCTGATAGAAATTGGAAAGCCCATAATACATGAACACATCCCCTTTGAATTCTTCAGATAGATTAAACTTCACTTTACAGACACAGGTCTTTCCAGTGTTTGTAGCATTTTCAAAGAACTTGTCGCATCCTTCTCCACTTGAACTTTTACAATACGTATATTCCACAGTCTTTTCTTGTACCTACAATATCAAATCCTTCAGAATTTTTCACACAAATAGCCAATTCTCAGGGCTTGACACAAACTTTTCAACTGACTAGCCAACTGGCAAGTGACAACTTAATTGTTACAACAATCTCAGTTTCTTCACTAGCCCAACTGGCTAATGGGAATCGGAAACCAATAGCCAAAACTGAATTTCTACTTGTCTGTGACTAGTTGGATACTGTTTGGTGTCGAGCCCTGGATTCTTAAAAATAATTACTTCTTTCTAATTGGGCATGAAGGCTTTACTGGGAAATACTGACTGGAGGGCATGGCAGTACAGACCTGGCTGGGCTCTATCTGCAGAAAACTGAGTGAGGACCAATGCTCACCAGTAGAGCTTGAGAAAAAAAGGTGAATACGTAGTTTATTATTGGAAAAAGTGTAGTCAGGAGATGTCATGAGTTTTATAGAAATTGGTTGCCTCTACCTGTTGTTATTTCTGAAACAGATATTTTGGCCAATGCTTAAGCCTTCATCAGTGTTACCACTGATGAAGGCTTAAGCATTAGCCGAAACGTCTGTTTCAGAAATAACAACAGTCAGAGGCAACCAATTTCTATAAAAGTAGTTTTAATTATTACATGGCAATCAGACCAAACATGTCTATTTAAAGTTGCCAGCTTTTCACAACCAAAAATATACAGTTAATTACTGTTTCTGTGAAAACCATCTATGTAGCAAACAATTAAATGTCACTACAAACGCTACATTCCAGCATTAAAATTTAAAACCAACATAATCAAACAATATTACTTTCACTCTTGACCAGTAAAACAAAAACTGTGCCACACAACATGGTGCACAGCAAATTGTTATCAATATTTCCGACCTTTTGGCTCAGTTAGGTCACGATAATTGGTGAACCCATGATGTGAGATCAATTTTCTGTGACGATTGAATTGACTGCAATGATACCAACTCTTATTCCGCAAGATTCTTTCATGACTTCATTGTTTTTGTTTTCCTAGTAAAATTGATAGTCGGCAAAACAACGACAACAACAGATCATACAGTCATTAAGAAGCCTAAATCTTTCATTAGGATGATGGCGCTCGCCAGAGCATCTCTCGATCCTTCAATTCTCTTAAAGCAACACTTGGTCACAAATGGAGGTGATGAATCAACACAGTGTTACAAGAATTCACAGAAGTAGCGATACCAATGAGCCTCTCAAAGGTATGAAAGCAAAAATGGCCCCAAAGCATTTTTGTCCTTAATGAAAGCTCGAATCGATTAAACAAGCTGCAAATTACGGTTTCAACACAGATACATTTTGTACTCTGAGCAACAAAAGCTATGGGATAATTTTAATTTCGCAGCCTGTTGATGAAGTGTTATCAGGGAAATAACCCTTAGATGATGAACCACACTTACTTTATCGGATGCTACCAAAAGAACTGCACCAATAGGTATGAACACCACTCCGATTATGAAAAACAAAGGCAGCGCCGTAGATGCTGTCAGAATGGGTTGCCAAGCTTTCAGTCTATGCTGCTTAAAGTTGGTGTCTGAAGAAATAAATGTGTAAGAGACACTATTAAATTCTCCCTTTTTGAACACAAAGTGGGCGTAAAAATTACTCACTTGATGGTTTTTTCGACTTTTTTCTCTCTCGGGTAGAATCCGCCATCATGTCATCCCGAAAACTTCACCTGTTTGAGCCTGTGGTACATCAAGGCGCATTTTTCGATGGAGTCTGCTTGACGTTGTTGGGGTTCTCTGGTATGATTAATTTATGCACCCGGAAGAAAAGATCTAGTCTCAGTATCAGGCTTTTCGAAGAAGATCTAAGCATAGTTAATGGGGATGAGTTTAGACGCTGCAGTGAGCGTATTAACCAGAGCTGTGGAGCTTGATCAAGCTCAAAGCTATTCGGAGGCATTGGTGTGCTATCAAGAAGGTCTAACCTTGTTGATGAACGTTCTAAAAGACACAACAGATGACACGCAGAAGGTACACTACCGTGCAAAGATGGAGTCCTACATTGAGCGCGCAGAAAAGCTGAAAAAATTGGTCAGGGAACAGCAAGAAGCGGGAACTTTTCACGAAAAAATCAATATCAAGGAGGAATCCACTGGATACAGCTATAGACGCGTGTTTGAGAAATACTTGGAGGGTAATGTGCAAGAAGTTGTAGTGGAAGATCCCTACATTCGAAACATTCACCAGATATATAATTTTCTTCGATTTTGCGAGTTGCTTGTACGCAAAGGAACGGTGCGGAACGTTAAACTGCTTACCAGTAAGTGAAAAATGAAGTAAGGACGTTACCTTCTTATTTTTGACAGCAGCAATTCATATTACGGCCCCTATTTCTTGTCACGCAACACCTCAGAGAAAGGGCTTCCCCTTTTGAAAACTAAGAGAGGTAAAGAACGAGAAAGGCAGGTAACGGTACCGGTTCTTCAAAGGATTGACTCCAATGGAGTTTTATTTTCAAGATAGCTCCAAGGATGAGGCTATGCATTTTTGGGATTTTGGAAGTAAAGGTTCCAGTAAGTAGGGATTCGAAAATGGGAAAATTCGCAATTAAAAAGTTGTTACATTTGCTGAGAGTTGACTAATATGGGGTCTGTGAGGGGTAGCAATAATCTCAGTGGCTTCATGGTATAAAAATCAGGATGGGTTCAGGGAGTAATAGTTGCAAGACATGATCTTTGGGTCTTTCCTCCAGCTTACTGGGAGACACAAGCACAGCTGTTTTGATTTTCTGTCATATGAAGCTCACTCACTTTTAATCACAAGGAGAGGCAACATGGGGATATATTTGTTTGGTAAGAACAGAGCCCAATGATCCTCAGATGTACCTAACATTCAGATGCCAAATAGTTCAGAGTTGAGCTTGTTTTGCAACAATGGTCTTCCACACTGAATTAGTATTTGTTCTGCAAGTCTAAATGGAGGCTTTGTAGGCTGTATGGATGATAACACATTCCAGGGTAATGGGACCTATTTTTTTTTTCGGGCAAGGTAGTGGGCTTTTAGAGTAACCTGTTAACACTGTCTTGTTTAAGAACAAAGAAAAATGACCTGAGCCAGGGCTCGAACTCAGAGCTCCATCTAGACAGAATGAAGGGGGCAGAGAGCACCTCCTGGCAATGAAAACAGCAACAGTTGCTTATCCTGAGAACAAATTTTCAACAAGTTAATCTTCTGCATTCTTTGAATTGACCAGCCTTTCAATTTAAGCTAACTGTTTTATATCTTTTTCCATAGCTCAAGATGAAGATCCGGAGAGCCAAAACAATCAGGTTAAGAGACTCCAAGGACTGAAAACCAGTTTAAAAAAACACAACATAAATCTTGAAATTGGATTTTCTCAAACGCTCCATGATCGCGAGATTAGATTCAACAATGGCTGGGTGATCAAAATTGGTAGAGGACTTGATTACTTCAAGCCCCCTCCAGGGAAGTTCTGTGTAGGTTTCTGCGACTTTGACTTACGAGAATGTCATGAGACAGTCATTGACATCTATCTCAAGAAAGCATGAAAAAGTGATGATGGCTTTTTAGCCGTTGGTGCACACAGTTCTACAACCCCAGTAGTACCTGTTACAAGCATATGTTTGACACGACATCCCATAGAGCTCACTCTAAGTGCATGTACATGGGACAGGATGATGAACCCCTATTGGGTGGGGCAAAAGGGGCAGACCCAATCTAGTAAGGGGGTGTGGTGGGAGTAAGCACAATAAACGTGAGTATATTGTCGGCCCCTTGCAACGCTAAAAAGTTGCGATGAATATTAATCAATTTCATAATTATCCAAGAGGGTTTCATAGCCGATGTTTTGTTTTTTACTTCTATCAAAATAACTCTGGGTGACCTATGTGACACTCAGGCATGACACCTTGTCACATGACTAGTGACATCACACTTTGGATAATTATCAAAAGCTATTAGACCCTGCCATAAAATTATATATTATATAATATATTATAACTGTTTAAGATTTATCCAAATTTCTTAATGGAAATTGGGCACCAGGGGCCAACAATAACTATTCCCACTCTCCCTCACAAGTGCAATCTGTTTTTCTGTTAGGACACAGGCTAGTCCCCTAAGCCTTAGTTTACATGGTGATCACTGGGTCACAACAGAATATATTGTCTACTAGTTTGCAAAATCTTACTCAAATATTTTGTGTCATTACAAGATAGTGCTATTTTTTTGTAAGGCTTACCAACAACTTCACCTTTGGTGGGGGCATCTCAACAATAGGCTTCAGTTAAATTTAGTTTTGTTTGAGAAGAGTGCAAATTTTTTACCAAAAATTTCTTTTGTATTTTTTATGTACTGTATACGCTCATAATCAGTGGAATAGGTTTACATTGAGCAAATTAAAAATAATTTAATGACATAATAGTTTATAATGAAACCATTGCAAATTCACAGCTGTGTATGGCTAGATTGAGATTCCTCAACCAAATTTTAGCCAAACTGTTTGCTTGATTTAGCTGAAAGAAAAAAAACCTTTCTCTTTCTTTCTCTTTTTTCCACCTTTTAGTGATCTGTTTCAAAAATTGCAAGCATAACTGAGATAATTTATTGTTAAAAAACTTGCAATAGTGAGAGCAGCAGCTGTTCACTATCCACACACTGAAGTCTTGAATGTGCAACCAGGTCACTGAAATCCTTTCAAATGGCAGCAATTTACCAGTGCTTGCTTTTATAGCATATTTGAAGACGATTTTTTGAACAGCAAGGTTACTCTTTGGAATCTCAAATTGTGATAGTAAATGAATTTTTATGTTTGCTTCTTAGTGATGGAAGGGGGTAAAAAGAAATGTTTGGAGGGGGATGCTTCTCCTTTGATAATGCACTCTTTATCCCAGTTCCTGTTTGTCCCTAAGGCAGGGTCAATTATGTCATGGAGGAGATTGCTGAGTTTACTGGGAATTGTAAAGAATTGAAAGCATTTCCATTTCCAATTAATGGAAATTCACTCAAAGCAACACCATTTTTGAAGCAGATGGGAGCAAATCCACTTACAGACAATTATCTTTTGAAGGTGAAGCAATATTCCAGAAGAATAATCACAGAACCAGAGGAAAATAGATATTTTGCTTATGAAAAGTGGAATGGTAGTGACTGAATTTTATTTAATTTAATGCTTTCTTAAATCAAACATTGAATGATCCTAAAAGGGCAGCAAATTTTGAAATTAATGCTTTGGGACAACTGCATTGTGCAAAGTGCCAGCAACAAGACAAGACATGATATTTGACCTCGACCATATGAATACTTCATAATTTATAACTTAGGAATTTGAGATCTAAACGATGGGTAACAAGTAATGAAATTTGCACATTGGCAACCTCTAACAGTTGGAGCAGAGATGTCTATATTAACCTTTTACATTACATCCTGGTATTGATATCAGAAATTAATTTTGCAATTTCAAGGTGAACAAATGGTGGAATTAATCAAAGCAGACTGCACCCATGATGCTAGCACTGTTACATCAGCATAAATCCCATATGACTTAGGCCTAGCGCATCCCAGACCCCAGCTAATAACCCCAGCCAGGTACCAGTGTATCTTATCTTTCTGACAAACCATTGGTCCCCCACTATCCCCCTGACAGGCATCTATACCTCCAGCGATATATCCAGCACACATCATCCTGGGTGTGATATTGTAGTCTGGATAAGCAGCTTGACAAGTGTCACGTGATACAATTGGTATCACCGCCTGTTGCAGAATTGTTGCCTGGCGACCAACTTCACTAAGCCGACCAAAACCAGTGACAGTGCAGTTGGTTCCCGCCGGAAAACTGTCGTTAGCAGTTGGCAAGCAAACAGGTGATATAAACCTGCTGAACTTGCTTAAAGCTGGTTTAAAGCGAACGAGGGCAATGTCGAAGTCTGCTGTTAGTAAGTGGTAGTCAGGATGCAGCTGGTATATATCGACCTCTCGGAAGAGTTCGATACCTTCCTTCCTTGTAACATCGTACTCCCCAAGCACGACCATCAACGTCGAGGCGTTTCTGTATGCAACGCAATGTGCACCTGTCACGATCCATTCTTGGTTTATCAAAGCCCCGCCACAGTAAATCTGCTTCGTGTTCTTGATCATAAGACCAGCCTGCCATGGCCACTCCCCTGGTAACGCCCTTTGGCCCCCCACTATACGCCGTGTGGTGCGTCGACCACAGCTGCAGCTTGGTTTTAGAACTGAGAACACAAGACAGATAAAGGGAAATAAGTACGCAAATAACTATAGCTAACTTAACCTTAGACTGGAGCCGTATCAATGTGGTCTTAAGAATCTAAGGCTGTTAAGCCTTAGACGGTTGTTTCACGAATTCAAGTTAGCTTCAATAACCCTGAATGATAAAAAAAAATTGTGACTGAAACGAGTTGCAACAAATCGACCATCTTTTTTATAGAGGGTAAGTTTTTAAAGAACCTTTGGTACCGCGTCTGTGCGGGTAACAAGGTAATTTGGTTTTATCAGCCAAGTTGAAATTGTGACGAAGGGCTAACGCTCGAGATGCCAGCCTCTTAACTCTTTACGGTGGCGTGGTTGACTTATTGATAAGAGCGATTAGAGTTGAAAGTCAACTTCTGTCCAAAAATAAATGGGTTAGGTTTCTAAATAACTATGGTGCTGCGTCGGTTGAGGGTATTACGACATAACTGACTTGATGATGTAAGTTGTCATCGTAAAGAGTTTCTAAAGGTGACGCTTCGAGCGTTAGCCCTTCGTCAGCTTTAGCAACCCTTCACGGCGGCCAACTCATTTCATCACCTCATTTGATAAGACCGTGCCTGGGATTATGAACGGAAACTTATCCTAGTTATTTCCGCTTCCCTGCTGAAACTACCTTCTTTTTTATAAGATCTCGCGATATGCCAACTTATCACAAATGCAAAACGCCATAATATAGTAAAGAAGGTCCTGGGAAATGATTCGTGATAACCTGATTCGCACTTCAGTCCCGTGAACCCCTGAGAGCATGCACAACTGAAATTGTTCACGTGATCGACACATGATCCCCCGTTCAGGCAAGGAGAACTGGAACAATCATCGATATCTATCACAAGCAAAAACAAGCGCAAGTTAGGTTCATGTCGATTTATAATTTTGATGTTGTAGAGCGTTCATGACCGACAGGTTAATACTTGGCTGGAGTGAGCATTTTGGTCAAATAAACAAAGCTGACAGAACAGCCCTTTTTTTTTTACGTTTTTTAGGCGAAGGGAGGCAAGCGCAGAACGAGCACGAAACTAGAGTAACGGGCGAGAGGAGGAGCGCGAAAAACAAACAAGTGCATCAGTACATTCACACGTGACTTGCACATCACGTTCGCTTGAAAAACGCAAAAGAATTACGTCTGTTCTGTTCATTACATAATCATCGCTTTCACATATCCAGAGGAAACTGTCTCTTTAAACTCTTTAACCCAAAAAAACTATAAAAACTACTTATGTGCAGCCTAGCCGATATTTTTCAAGTCAATAGGTAGTTACCGATTTATAAGTGTAATAACTTCGGCCGGTGAAGATCGTGATACATGGTCCTTGCTTTTAATGTTAACATTTACACCTGATTAGATAATTTGCATTTATAGCCGGATTCTCGCGCCAAAGCAAAGCGATAAAGGCAAGTGTTCCACCCGTAGCTTCTTCTTCTTGTGCCAAACGTACCTGGTTTTCAATTAGCGTTATATAACAAGTCTAGAAAAGTTAAACTTTTGAGCGAAAACTTGTGAAATCACGATGGAAAACAAAGGGGGCCAGAAAGTCAGTGAAATCACA